TTTTTTTTTTTTGTTAATAGTATTAATCTTGTTACTTTAAAATATTTATAAAAGCAGAGACAGTCGGTGGTAGTCAATGTATTAAAGAGTAAAATTATATCAACGAATGATTCTTCGATTATTATGAATTGTAATATTCTGTTTGCACTTGTCTTAACGTTTTAAGGGTCCAATAATACTTAGCATCTTCTTGGAACGTTTTTACGCGTCCCATAGAGAGAAACGGCGAGATAGATTGATAAATATAGCGATTGAGTTAGATCTAGGAGACGTTCAATTCGGAGGAACGAGAAACTTTGAGTGGAACGTTCTATTTTCACTCGGCTTCTCGTAATGAGCCATACTTGTTGAAAAAGGAATTTACAACAACGACCAGTTTACGTGGCAAAGCGATCTTGATGTGGCACGAAACTCAATTTTTTATACTGTCCGGCCTGTATTCAAAACGCTCTAGTAGAACAAACTATACTCCTTTTCTTTCCATATAAAAAACAAAAAGAAAAAAAAAACAAAAAAAAAAAAAGAAAACAATCTACTATAATATTAATACGAGAATCCTTTCAACTATTTCTTCTTCGAATATCTCGGTGTTTTTAATCTAACGATTTATATTTATAAAGATCCTCTTGAAAGTGTTAGAAATTCTAACTGAAAAAAAAGGAAGGAGAGAAAAAGAGAGAGAGAGAGGAAAGAAAAACAGATCTATATACTATAAGCAATCGTTGAGAATTGATAATTAATTCTTAATCAAAATTAGAAGTCTAACCGTCGATAATCATAATCGTTCTCATTCGAACAAGCTGTAATTTGCGTCCAAATTGAGAACTATCCGTGTGGTTTTTTGCGCGATAATCGAGGGGGACTGCCACGCTGTCAAACGTGGATTTTCCAAACGGTGTTGGCAAACGCTCGCGAGACAAAGGCGTATCGTTTAGTGATAATACAGTGTTATGAATACGAGCCTTTAAGTTTATTCCGTCGCTCATAAGACTTCTCAACTACGGTAGCGTTATAGTAATTTATTTTCATGCGATTTTTTAAAC